GACAGAGAGGGAAGAATGAGACACGGGGAGAAAGAGAGGGAAGAATGCCCCCCCTCCCCTGTCCGCAGGCACCGTGCGGGCAGGGGAGGAAGAGAGGACCTGGGAGCTCACCCTGCAGCTCCTCTGGGTCCTTCTTGCGCGAGCACAGAGCGTTGCCGCGGTTACCATGGCATCGTTACTGCTCTTGCGAGAGTCAACTCTAGCCCTGGAGCTACGGGCTAGAGTTCACTCTCAACACTGTAACCCCATGGATTCCTGGTGGTCGCAGTGGTGAGAGTGAACTCTAGCCCCATAAACACACTGCCCCCACACACACACCATACACATTCACACACTGCCCCCATACACACCATACACATTTACACACATTGCCTCACACACACACACACATACACTGCCCACCCATATACACACAGACCCCCATACACAGCCCCCATACTAACATTGCCACACACATACACTGCCCACACACCCTACACATTCACACACTACACCCCCACACACACACTGAACCTTTCACACACATTGCACCACTGCTCCTATTCCCCACTACAGCCTCATATCCCAGCAGACCCCAGGTAAGTTGTCAAACTGTTCTTAAACGGTTTGACTACTTACTCTGGAGCAGTAGTGGTTATTGTGCATGGATTATTTCTTTAAATAATCTACAAGTGCCCCAGTAGCCAGCCAGCCAACCCACAGGCTGGCTAGTAGCCAGCCCACAGGCCAGTAGCCAGCCCACAGGCCAGTAGCCAGCCCACAGGCCTACAGCAAGCCACAGGCTTACAGCCAGCAAGCCATAGCCTGCCAGCCGCAGTCAGCAAGCCCACAGCATGCCGGCAGTAGCCAGCAAGCCCACAGCCTGCCAGCCGCAGCCAGCAAGCCCACAGACTGCCAGCCAGCAACAGTAATTAAGGTAAGAGGAGCCAACTTGGCTTAGGTATCAGCGAGCTATGTTGTGTTGCTATATTGTGAATAGGAACCAGAGTGTTGGAGAGACCACCCTCCAGGCCCCATTAGACTCTAGCCTCTGCTAGAAATCTCCTCCATGGCCCATTAGCCCTCAATTGTAGTTTCTACTGGGGCCTGGAGGCGACTGTTTCCAGCAGGGGATATCTAATGGACGCTGAGATGGCCTCTGTTAGAAAGACCCCCTTCCAAGCCTTTTAGACTCCATTGTAGTCTCTAATGGGGCTTGGAGGGGATTCTTTCTAACACACCCTCTAAAGGACACTGAGATAGCCTCCGCTAGAAAGACCCCCTTCCATGGCCCATTAGCCCTCAATTGTAGTCTCTACTGGGGCCTCGAAGGGCTTATTGCCCTTTTGTTCCTTGTGTCTAAAGATTGTGTACGGTGTGGCTGGAGGCGGGACAAGGGTGGCGCTTGCTGCAGAGTATGGGTGGGGCCTGTAAGGGGGCCCTTGATTTATTTTGCCCGGGGGCCCTGAGGGTTCTCAGTCCGCCCCTGGTTACAATGGTACCTGTCAATGGGTGGGATGTGTTAGGCAGCAAGTGGCCAGTCAGTTCTTCAGTTTCATGTGTTGGAAGCAGGAAAAAATGGCAAGTGAAAAGATCTGAGAGACTTTAACAAGGGCAAAATAGTGATGACTAAAGAACTGGTTCAAAGCATCTGGAAAATTGTAAGCCTTGTAACCCTGGTATGCAGTGGTTAGTATCTACCAAAAGTGTTGCAAGAAAAATCAACCAGTGAACCGGCATCAGGGTCATGGACGCCCAAGGCTCATTGATGCATGTGGGGAGTGAAGGCTAGCCCTTCTGGTCCATATACACAGAAGTGCTACTGTGGCTCGAGTTGGCGAAAAACGTAATGCTGGCCATGATAGAAAGGCATCAGAACACAAAGTGCAACACAGTTTGCTGTGTATGGGACTGCATAGCCTATGATAGCCCCTGTCCACCACTGAAAGCTCCTTCAATGGATATGTGAACATTTGACCTGGACCATGGAGCAAAGGAAGATTACCTGGTCTGATAAATCAAATTTTCTTTTAGATAAGGTGGATGGCCGGTGCGTGTCTGTTGTTTAGCTTGGGAAGAGATAGCAGCAGGATGCACTATGGGTAGAAGGCCCAAAATGTAGATCCCCAGATGTTGTTGAACTACATCTTCCAATATGCTTTGCACGCCTTTGGAATGCCTTTAGAATAGCAAGGCATCATGGAAGCTGTAGGTTTAAAAGATCTGGGGATCTACCTTTTGGGTACCCCTGACCTAGAGAATGCTGATTGTACCCCTCCAAACTTCTGCTCTTGTATAATAATGGAGGCGAAAGGACATGGATTTTATAGTCCATCTGCCCAATGCATAAAGGTGGTTATGAGTCCAGTTGGAGAAATTAGTTTCTCAAACAGGTGAAGATTAGAGATCTCGCGAACCGTCCGCGAACTTCTCGCGAACGGTTCGCCGCGGTTCGCTGCGAACCGTTCGCGAGAAGTTCGCGGACGGTTCGCGACATCTCTAGTGAAGATTAGTGCTGGAGCTGAGGGTGAGGTATGTTGTTTTTAATGTAGAGTACACTCTGCCTTGCTTTTCAAAACTGAATCTGCCCTGTGTATACATACACATGGTAGGAGGAAGAGGGTTAATTTGTTTGTTTTGTAAGGAGCTGTTAAAGTGTGTTTTATTATTTATTTTATAATACTTTTAGGTGTTCTTGCATACCGACGTATGTATGCATTTGTTAAATTAATTTGTTAAACATGTGTGGGGAAAAGAAACTGATTAATTAATTACCGTTTTTAGTTTATTGTACTTGGAGGTAAATTGATAAATGGTACAAAAGTCTCTCCCTGAATACTATGACCATACCAACTTGATTCCAAGAACTAGGCTTGCAAGATTGATCAGTAAGCAGAACATGAGTGAAATATTATTGTTCAAAATGTGCCATCTGTCAGGGCAGTGGTTAGATTTAAGGCATGGGTACACAGAAGGCTAGCAAAATGGCTCAGAGCTCATTTTCCACAGTAAATTTCCCAAGATACCAGTCATCAGTAAGTGACAAAACAAAACTTCAGCATCAAGATAACTAAACTTCTCCCTGATTTATGTGCCTATAATTAACATAACAGATTTGTACAGGCATTCCCATGACAACTGCAACATGTTTGGTAAAGTAAATATTCTTTAAAAGTCATTGATTCCTTGATGTAACTACAATGTATTTCAGACATTCTGTCTGTGACCTTCACAAACTTGGTGTAGCAACTATTCATGAAAAAACAATAATGTATTTTGATGTATCTCATTTTTAAGAGTCATGTTTCCATTTCATAGTGTATCTATAAAAAATGTTATTTTGTTCTTAAAGAGACTCTTTAAGCCAGTGGTAGTCAACCTTTTTCTACCTACCGCCCACTAATGCATCTTTCTTGATGGAAAAATTTCCTTACCGCCCACCAGTTTTCGCGCAAGTGCGGAATATTTTTTAGAAAGTACATTTATCTTTTTATTTCTACTTAATGCATGTTTATAATGTTTTTAACTTTATAAAGTTTAATGAGAAAACAATAAAGTAAATTGAAATTACCTTTACTAGTGATTAATGATATCCTTGAAGTTGATGCTGCAAGACTGAATATTTGATATCTGGTTCGATTTTCATAAGGAACAAACAAAGGTCTCCTCTTTCGGTAATATTCAAACGACTTCTCTGTTTGCGCATAATATGATTTCTCATCTGTGCGTCAGCTCCCCTCCTCTCCCTCCTCAATTCCCCTCCCCACCTTTTTTTTTTTAAACCTTACTTATAGCAATGCCCAGTAGGAAGGCTGAGCTAGGTAGCCCACTTACTATAGCCCACTATAACAGACAAACACACATACAGACACACACACACACACAAGACACACATACAGACACACATACAGGAACACATACATACAAAGACACATACATACAAACAGACAGGCACACATACAGACACACATACAGACACAGACATGCACACATACACACAGACACACACATAAGACATACATACAAAGACACACACACATACACACAGACACAGATACATACAGACACATACATAAGACACACATACAAAGACAAGACACACACACACACGACATACATACAAGGACACATACATAAGACATACATACAAAGACACATACACACACATACAGACACACACAAGACATACATACAAAAACACACACACACACATTATATTTAAGTCACCCTCCTGCACCTTAAAGGTAGGAAACAGGAGGGTGACTTAAATATAATGTGTGTGTGTGACATTCCCTGGGGTCCAGTGGTGGCTCAGGTGAATGGGAGTCAGAGTTCCCACTCTGACTCCCTGGTCTTCCTCCCGCGCGGCTCTCGGTATTAGCTGGGAGGAGTGACGTGCAGTCACTTCCTCTCAGCTCTGTGATGTAATCACAGGGGGCCCGGTCGCGCTGTTAAAGCGCCCAGTGCTGACCGGGCCCCCTCACAATCCACATCCATCGTGTGGCCCTGACAGCATGGGACACCCGATGGACCCCTTGGACGGTGGCCCCGGCAGTTTGCCGCCCGGGCCGGGGCCGCAGATGGTGATGGCGGTACCCGTCGCAGGGGTACCACTGGCTCGCACCCACACGCCCGCTCACCCAATCTCTCCAAATGAGGAAATCCCTACCGCCCACCTGGAATCCTGAAACGCCCACTAGTGGGCGGTAGGGACCAGGTTGACGACCCATGCTCCAAGCAATGTTGTTGCCTCTATCTCCTAATACATGATTCTTTAAATTTTTTGCAATTTGCAAAACAATGTTCTAGGTACAAGCCTGCCATTTCAGAATGATGTGTAAAAAACAAACAAACCAAAAAGCCATCTGTACTGTTGTGCCCGCAAAAAACATTTATTCAGTGTATGCTCTCTGTGTGGACACAGACCATTTAGGTCCTCACCTCCCTCTCACAGGCTACCAGAAAGAGCACAAGCTGTGCGAATGCATGGTCAGTGGATCACATAAATACTGTGCCCTGCTTATATGCAAATTTGTGAAGGGAACTGTCAGTAAACAGACATAGTGTGGCTGTTATTAACTTATTTGAGGAAAAGACCTATTCACAGGGTATGAGTTACATAGCACATACACCTTTTTACGGACAGGGGCTTATGGAATATAAGGTCCCACAAGCCAGAATGAAGGGCTCTTGATTGGCAGAATCTTTTCCAGGTCTGAGCAGAACTCCATCTTGCAGCTGCTTGTCTGTCCATAGCTGGAATTTCAGTCCTCAAGACAACCCTCTTCTGCTACTGACTCATTCCTGGGATTTTAGTTCTGTTAGTGGCAAATAATAGGTTGTTCTTTTTTGATGCTAAATACAGAATTAATAATTAAGATTGTTTTACACTTAGATGAGAGTTTCTGAACGGGTTATTACATCCTCATACTAACTCTTTTTTGCAGCATTGACCATGTAATTGTTTTTATATACTTTTATGATACACATACCTTCCTGAGACAAAATAACTCAAGATACCTGTAGAGAAATGGACTCCAAGAAGGACTTTGGGACAAAGCCAATCATACCCACAATGAGACAAAGCTTCCAGTGGGAAAGAAAGTACTGGGGAAATATGGGGCGAGCAAGGATTGTACGGGGAACTGAAAATATCAGTTTTCATTGAATATACAGCAGAATCAACAGCATGGCCATTATATAACATAAATGTATACAATGCCCTGTCAGAAGACAGTTATAAAGTCACAGTGTATATTTGTTAATGAAAGCAGATGTATTATCTAAATTGAAGGCCACATATAAAAGGCTAATAAAAGAAATAATACCTATTTTAAATGCCAGTTTCAGGAATATTATGTCAAATGCAACTTTTCCTTTCTATATCCATCAGATGTAAAATGATGGGTAATGGATGCTAAATGCACGCTTTATTTGATACTGTTAGGTCATTCTTTCAAGCATTGGTAAGCAGACTCTTTTCAGACAGTTTTGTGTACTTCCTATATGACATTGAAAGCATGACATGCATGACCAAAAATAATATAATGGGTAAAAACTGAATTTTGAAAATAATTTTTTTTTTAAATAAAGAGTCCTGTTTTTTTTTTCCATTTACTTGAACGGATAATCACAGAAAATAATTGGGACTGAAGGCTAGATTGCTGCTTGTGGGCTTAAGGTTTATGTACAATATGTACCATTTAAATTAAGTAGTTTATAGTCGTTGTATGGTTTCTTTAGAATTCTTGATTTGCTTGTTGAAATGAGCTCCCTTTCTTCCGTTTCTTTGATAATAAATAATGAATGTTGTTGTTTGTTCACAGAAAATTATTACGGCACTCCAAAACCTCCAGCTGAACCTGCTCCGCTTTTATTAAATGCAACAGACCATATTTTTCCTGGTGGCATTCCAAGAGTCGAGGGAAAACGCAAACGCAATAAATCTGTGAGCAACATGGAAAAGACCGGGATTGACCCTCCCGAGGAGGAGGAAGAGGAAAGGCCTGTTGTCAATGGAAATGGTGTTGCAGTAACGCCAGGTATGAATATTTAAAATTAAATATTGCTACATTTCTTTCTCTTTTTGACATTCTTTTTACTTTGTCAACTTTTTCTGGTTTTCAAACCGAAAAAATAGTACTGGCAATCAATGGAGTACTTGATCAGAATATAACATTTAACATATGAAAAGTAGAGATGCGGTGTATCAATGAATTGTTGTTAGTGCCATGGATTGAGTTATTGTATCTTATGACTGATTCAGCTGCCTTATTGGGAACAGTATAAAGTGGTCAAATGGTGTATATTGTTGTGGAGAGATGTATGTCAGGGGACGAATATCCAGAGTTAGGAAATTAACAGTAATAGGTGCTAGGCATTACTAAAATTAGAGATCAGGAAGGAGGTTCAGCGCTGATAGGAAAACAGAGAATATGACAGCAAGGCAGCACACCTATGGAAAAGGGGAATCCCCACTAAGCCCCTTAGAATACAATGGAGAGAAAAGCACAAATAAGGGTAGTAAGTAAGACAAGTAGAGTGAGTGTATAAAAATATGTATCAGAGAGTCCAAGCAGCGATACCTAGAAAGTCCAAATATAAATAATCCACATATGCAGGAGGTAGTCCTAGTGCTACATAAAATGGTATGTGAAGTCCCAGATGTATATCCGCAGCTTCAAAATGGATATGTGAAGAAAACAGAAGACAAGGGAAACTCCAATGGTATAGTATGAACGGTAAAATAATATTGTATATAGAATAGTAGAACTACTCACAATATTCAGAGCTTATATCCAGCTCTGGTGTAAATGGCACGTAGTGGAATAATCCCCACTCAAGGATATACGTTGCTCCTCTTTTGTTCTTTAGCAGAGTACTTTGGTGGAGTAGTCCAGCTCGAGGTAAAAGAATAAAATATAGTGCTCACTGTATAGTTGATAAAATGTAAAAACAGAATAAAATATACTCACGGTATATAGAGCAGACGTACTGCTCGGTGGATGGCGTATGGGTGGTATAATCCCCACCTTAGGATTCTTGGTACTCCAATATGGACAAAAAAGTAGTAGTAGTCAGGTCTGAATAAAATAAACTTGCAAATAGTAAAATAATAAAATTATACTAAAAGAAGGTAATATAATACTAAGGTGGGAAGAGGAATGTGGCAACCAAATGTATAATAGCCAAATATTCCTTTATTAACACTTAGATTATATAAAAAGTTCCTATACGCGTTTCGCCACAATAGGCTTCATCAAGTAGAAACTTATAAAAAGAGAAAAACAGACCTAACATATAGCACTTATATAAGAAAACATAAAATTGCACAGATAAATTGAAATTCCCGCCAAAATGACGTCACCGGCGTCATGGGAGTGGACACAATTCAATAAAAATTTGGAAAATATAAAAAGTCAATATAAGAGTGTTTAAAATATAGTATAGAAGTCAGAAGCATTATTTGTACACAAAATATTAAAAAACGAGGTTTTACAGTGTAAGAAATTATATAAATTATAACATCATGTGACACGGAAGTAAATAAGAACGTCATGTAATTTTAGGTCAAGTAGGAGCCCCTGGGTTGAGTTTTATGATCAGACAAGCAGGTTCAATACTCAGAAAAGGCTAGCATACAGTTATATGGTGCAGATGGCTGCACCAGTAGAGTATCAGACTATGAACCCACACTCCACAAGTTTGAAACAAGTTTACTAACATATTCCAATAGATTAACATAGGTGAATATTATTAGAACAGAATATAAACATAGATACAACTGTAACATTAATAAAATACAATATATGTATACACAAACATATAAATTATAAATACAATAATATAATACATTAAAAAAGGTAAGTATAAAAAGACATACTTAAAATAAGTTAAGAAAAATAATAACAAATACAGTGAATTATATAATCAAGTAATTTTAAAATTATAGTAGGAGGGTTGCATAAAAGATTACAAGAAATTAAAAAGGTCAAATTCTATATTGAGGCCTAATGGGGTGAGGGTCTTCAAGTTGTAAGCCCATTCCATTTCTTTACTACCTAAGATCTTTTTTATATTGCCTCCTCTCCATGGGATTTCACACACATCGATACCTATACATTTAAGTAATTTGGGATTTTTATTATGCATTAAAAAGTGCTTGGATACTGAATGATTTTCATAACCTTTAGAGATGTTACGACAATGTTCCGCTAACCTAATTTTAAGATTTCTGGTTGTCATACCAACATACTGGAGCCCACATGGGCACTCCAGTAAGTAAATCTAATTACTAAAATTAGAGATGGGAAGAGATGTGGAAGAGGGAGCAGAAGCATTAACAAGTAGGAGAAAGCACCAATACCTGTTGTGTAGTGCTCACAGTGGCGTGGGCTCACAGCTTTCCTCTTGTGAAGATCCAACCAGGGATGCTAGATCAATTGATAACATTTATGTTCTATTTTGCTAGAAAATGTCAAATGGACTGTTTTATTTTTACAAACCTTGAACTAATCTGTGCTTAATAAGATATGTATATTATTTGCTGTACAGGGACACCCCATGCACCAAAACAACTTTATCTAAATTAAGTTGTTATAGTACCCAGATGTCCACGGAGGCACTCTTACCTAAAGGGGTTACACCATTCTTGAATGGTTTAACCTAAAAGTTGCCTCCAGCAGTGATCTCCACTCCCTTGGGCATCATCCGGCTTTTGAATTTTCAGATTAGATTTGACATAGGTTGATTTTGGCTGACCTTTTCAACGTTGAGATCTTTAATA